AAAATAAATCCAGAGGCCAGCTACTTCTCACCACCTCCCTGGTGACTCTCTGAATGTCTAAATCAGACCATGCTGCCTCTGCCCAAAGCCTTTCCAGGTTTTCACTCAAAGGCAAAGCCAGAGTCCTTACAATGACCTTCAACTTCAGGTCTCCAAGTATCCTCTCCTAAACACCCTCCGCTAAGTCCACCCTAGCTGGGAGCAGGTGTTGCCCTCAGGGCCTTAGCATGTGCCCTTCCCTCTGCCTGGAACACTCCCCACATCTGTGTGGTCTTGGCTTCAGCATCGCCCCTCAGCAAGGTGAGCGCTGCCGCCTCTGCTACCATCACTCCCCCTGTGACTCTGGATTCTCTCAACTCTTTTCCATGCTGCCCCCACACAAACCTGCTCACGAATGACAGGATGCACTTTTGTGCTTGTTTGCTTATGGCCCATCCTCTCCACCTCAACAGAATGTAAGCTCCACAAGGGCAAGGATTCCTGATGCCTAGGTTCGCTGAGGTCCCCCTTAGCCACTGGAACAGCCTGCGTCACACGGACAGCAACGAGTGTATGGAGCGAGTAAACGTGGAGTGTGTGCGGGACAGAGAACAGGGGGAGTTGTGAGCAGGAAAGCAGCCCAGTGCAAGCTCAGGAAGCTAAGGAAAGCTGTGGAGGCCAGGCATGGTAGCTCATGCCAGTAATCCCAACACTCTGGGAGGCCGAGGTGAGAGGATCACTTGGGCCCAGGAATTCAAGACCAGGCTGGGCAACAAAGCAAGACCCCACCTCTACAAAAAATACAAAATTAGCTGGGTGTGGTGGCCTGCACCTGTGGTCCCAGCTATTCTGGAGGCTGAGGCAGGAGGATTGTTTGAGTCCAGGAGTTTGAGACCTGCCTAGGGAAAGAGACCCCACCCCTGCCCTTGTCTCTAATGAAAAAAGGAAAAATGCCAGGCGTGGTAGCTCACGCCTGTAATCCCAGCACTTTGGGAGGCTGAGTCGGGGTCGGATCAAGACCATACCCACTAACACGGTGAAACCCTGTCAAAATTAGCCAGGCGTGGTGGCTTGCACCTGAAGTCCCAGCTACTCCGGAGGCTGAGGCAGAAGAACTGCTTGAACCTGCGACTCAGGGGTTGCAGTGAGCCAAGATCATGTCACTGCACTCCAGCCTGGGCAATAGAGATTCCATCTTAAAAAAAAAAGAAAAAAGAAAAAAAAAAAGTGAAAAATAATTTAACTGGGTGTGGTCCACACACCTGTATTCCCAGTTACGTGGGAGGCTGAGGTGGGAGGATCACTTAAGCCCAGAAGTTCTAGGTTGCAGTGAGCTGAGACTGCACCTCTGTACTCCCTCCTGGATGACAGAGTGAGGCTCTGTCTCAAAAAAAAGAAGCTGGGCATGGTGGCGCTCTCCTGTAGTCCCAGCTACTTGGGAGGCTGAGGCAGGACAATTGCTTGAACCCAGGAGGCGGAGGTTGAGGTGAGCCGAGATCGCGCCATTGCACTCCAGCTTGGGTAACGAGTGAAAAACTCCGTCTCAAAAAAAAAAAAAAAAAGAACCACAATTTGGCTTTTTTGGTAGGGAGAGGATTGCAAACAGTCCCAGTTATCCAAAGCAGCTGTTATTCATCGTCAGCATGGCCCAGAGCCTTTTCCCCTCAGTAGTAATCATTTGGAGATTGAAATCTTGGCTCCAGTTCACCTCTGCAGTGGTGCTTTCTGCAGCGGCCCAACTCTGTCGAGGCTCAAAGTCCAAACATTCTGTCATGCAGTGGCAACAAAGGAGGGGTAGAATTAAAAGATAAAACTCTTGTTCCATGCCCTTTCAGTTATTGTTTAATTATTTTTATGAGTTTATAAGTCATTTTGCCAAGTCACTCCTTAGCTCTTTTTCAAAATACAACAACAATTATTAACTTGGTCACTTTTCCTAATAACCTATAGTAGGTATTTGGAATAGGAAAATGTCAGACTGTATCAAATGAAAGAAATTTGAATTTCTGTGCAGTTGGTCTTTAGGTTAACATTGTATATAACTATGTATGTATGAACATATTCACACATGAGATTGTACCTGCAGGTCAATTTCTAGAAAAGAAACTGCTCACAGGTGTTGCCTCTGGAGAGGAGAAGTGGGGAATGGGAGAAGGGTCAGCTGTGGGAAGAGATCTTTCGGACAGTAGTATTTCTTTGATTTTGTTTTAATTTTTTTTCTAATATGATGGCTTAAAAAATACAAAATAAACAACTGTCTCAATGACTGAAAAGTATGATAACACTTGTAGGTTTGGGTAATATAATCCCTTTCCTCTGGGTCATCTAGTATTGACTCTTCTTATACTTTTTGTGTGTTTAAGGAGAAAAGATTAATGTGTTTAGGTCTCCTAAAGTTTAAGCCCAGGTTGGTAAATTACCTAAAGCTTTTTAGTAAGGAAATCAATTTTTGAGATTAAAAAAAAAAAAATTCCCTGTAAGAATTTTTTTCAATTGTTTCCTCAGATGATGATTTTCGCCATCTCTTCAGACAACAGTAAAACATAAAATGAGACGCAGCATTACAAAATGAAAAGAATTGGAGGGAAAGACATTTGTTTTTAATGGAGTCAGGCATCCTAATTAATGCCCCTCTCTCCACCTTCTCTCTCTCTCAACTTTAATATCATAGAATGCTGAAGAAAGCACATTCCAGATACATGCTGCATAGACTAGTAACATTTAATGGATAACTTCCATTATGCTATTATAAATTTATAAGCATAGAAGCATTATTGTCTTCCATAAATACTATGAGTATTAAACATTCAACAGTCATAACCCAGTTTGCAATCTCCTATGACTTACATAAAGTGTTATCTTAATAAATTTCAGTTAAAATAAATGGTATACGAGAAGCAGGGTTAGGTTGCAGCTCCGACTTAGACAGAGCAGCATGCAGAGGTTCTCATTGTGAATTTTAGCTCCAGAATGACTGCAAGAACAAACTAGAAATCCAGAGAAGACCCACAGACTCTCTGAAGGAAGTGGACTGCTTCTGCAGGACCCAGGAGACACCCAAATACTATGCTGGTATCCATGGCTGAGAGACCCATAAACAGTTCACATCACAGGAATCCGTGCAGACAACCCCAAGTACCAGCCTGGAGCTGGGTAGACATGCTGCATGGCTAGACCCAGGAGAGAGAGAACAATCACTGCTGCTCAGTTCACAGGAAGCCACATCAATAGGAGAAGGGGGAGAGTACTACATCGAGGGAACACCCCATGGGACAAAAGAATCTGAACAACATCCTTCAGCGCTAGACTTTCCCTCTGACACAGCCTACCCAAATAAGAAGGAAACAGAAAATCAACTTTGGCAATGTGAAAAAGCAAGGCTCTTTAATAACCCCCCAAAATCACACTAGCTCACTAGTAATGGGTCCAAACCAAAAAGAAACCCCTGATTTACCTGAAAAAGAATTCAGGAGGTGAGCTATTAAGCTAATCAGGGAGTCATCAGAGAAAGGCAAAGCTCAAAGCAAGGAAATCCAAAAAATGATACAAAAGGTGAAGGAAGGAATGTTCAAGGAAATAGCATAAATAAAAACTTTAGGAAACCTTGGACACACAAAAATGCAAAATGCTCTAAAAAGTCTCAGCAATAGAATTGAACAAGTAGAAGAAAGAAATTCAGAGCTCAACTACACACTGGGGTCAGTTGGGGGGAAACAGGGGAGGGACGGTAGGGGGTGGGGAGTTGGGGAGATATAGCAAGGGGAGAGATGCCAGATGTAGGTGATGGGGAGGAAGGCAGCAAATCACACTGCCACATGTGTACCTATGCAACAATCTTGCATGTTCTTCACATGTACCCCCAAACCTAAAATGCAATANAAAAAAAAAAAAAAAAAGCTATGGGGTCCAATCTGAGAGAAGGGAGTGAGTGTGTGTGGTGTGCGTAAGAGAGGGAGGGGGAGGAGGCCTCTTAAGCTTCTTAATCCTGAAAATGGGGAGGAGGTCGTTTAAGCTTCAGTGCAGCAGTGACCTGACCTAGTTTTCTATTTTTAGAGATGGGGTCTGGCTGTATTGCCCAGGCAGGTCTTGAATCCCTGGGCTCAAGCCAGCCTCCTGAGTAGCTGGGACTACAGACATGTGCCACCCCACCCGGCTTGACCTAGTTTCTTTGTTCTGAAATTATCTGTTGTTGTTCCAGGTGTCAAGGCCAGTGCTGGGCACAGGGTGGTGGAGCCTATTGAGAAATGGCCGTGACCCCCAGTGTTCATCCTTCCATCTTGCAGCCTGTGCTTCCCGCCACACACAGCCCTGCTGTCTGGGAGGACTGTCTGCCCCTTGAGGTCACCTGCTCCTGGCAACTGTGCCAGGACAGCCTTGCTGTGGGTGAGAGCCACAGGACAAGAAAACACAACCGGGAGCTGGAAGGCCCAATCCCAGGGAAAGCACATAGCCTGGGGCAGGGCACCAAGGAGACTTCCAGCCCCACCTCCTAAGGAAGGAAACACCACGCAAGTGTAACCTTAGGCAAGTCACTTTTCCTTTTTGGATTGCTGCCTGCCTGTCACTGATTTCTGTCCTGGCCCCACACTAATGGCTGCCCATTATATATATATATGTGTGCGTGTGTGTGTGTGTGTGTGTATATATATATATGTATGTATGTATTTTAAGAGATGGAATCTTCCTATGTTACCCAGGCTCACCTTGAACTTCTGGGCTCAAGGGGTCCTCCTGCCTTGGCCTCCCCACGTGCTGGGATTACAGGTGTGAGCCACCAGGCCTGGCAGCTGTAATGTGCACCAGCTCTGTAATCAAGTGAATCCTATATGTTCCTGCTAATTAACCCAACAGTCCTACAATGGTGGTGATTAATTGCTCTGTTTTACAAAAGAGGAAACTGAGGCTCTGAGAGGTTGGGGACTGCCCCGGAGCCTTCAGTGCGTGTGGATGAAGCTGGGATGCAAGGAGCCAGTGGGCTGGAAGTGAGGCAGCCCAGCAGGTGGAGGCAGTGGGGTACTCACCTCCATGGTGGCTGCTGCTGGTTGGCTGTCCCTGCTGGTGACTGGCGTCCCCCGGGAGGCCTGGGGCCTGGCGTCGATGCTTGCCAGAGCCTGGGGGGCTGTCCCCTGCGGTGCTGGGGTTCAGGCCCCTCTCTGCAGAGCTGGAGCCTTCCTGCTCACTCGGCTCAAACTCTGGGATCTGGAACATGCTCTGGGCTGTGAGGACAAGATGTTAGGTAGTCAGGGCACAGCTGGGGCCAACGGTGGTCCTGGAAGGCAGAGGCAGGTGCCCCTGGCTCCCTCTCCCACCTTAGCGACCCCAAGGCCGCCAGGCCTCCCGGGCCCTCATCTGTCTGCTGGGTCTGGCCTGGCAGGGAGCTGAGGCTGTCGGCTCAGGACCTCAGTCTCCCCTCAGAACCCTTGTGGACCCTACCCAGGGGCCTACCCAGGTCCCGCCCCGCCCGTGGTGACGGCGGACAGGTCTCACCCCAAGCCCGATCTCGAGGCCCCTGACCCGGGCCTGCCGCCTCCCTCCAGCAACCGGGCTCCCGGCCCTAGTTGCCTGGGCAACGGGAACTGTCAGCGACCTGCCCCAATCACCTCTCGAAACGTCACTCGGGTAGGTCCAGAGGCGGGGTCAACCCGGCCCGACCCCGCCCTCCCACCGCCTCCCGACCTCGTAGCTCACCGCCTTTTTCCTACCTCCCGCGGCCTGGGTGCTCACATCCCTACTGCCTCACACCTTGGGTGTGTGTAGGAGCAGGAGAGGGATTCTCTGGGGTCCGCATTTGGAACCTGGAGACCTGCTTCTGCAGACAAGTCCTTCAGCCCCTCTGGGCCTTAGTTTCCCCCCAGTGAAGCGGGGATGGTGACAGCTCCCCCGGGACAGTGAAAACTTTGTGAAGGGAGTGATTGCTACGGGCGAAGGCGCTCGGCACAGCCGCAACTGAAGCTCAGCCGTTGGATGCGATTATTGTTGCTATTGTTACCGCTCCGCCTGGACTGGGTGACCCGGTCGGAAAGTCCCGTTCCCCGTGCCTCCTCCCAGGCGTAGAAGCTTCGCGCCGCCCGCCTCGGGGGACACCTCCCGCGCCATCTCGGGGGCACTGGAGATAAGGGAGGGAACCTCCTCCCTGGCTGGGATGGCTGCCCGGGCGCGGGAGGAGGGCCGGGGACCCGGTGAGGGTGGACCGTAGGGCCCGCGGGGGCTTCGCCCCTGGCAGGCGGCAGGCCAGGTGAGCGGGGCCGCGGGCGCGCCGGGGCGGGGGGCGGGCCCGCGCGGGGGATTCGGGGCTCCGCGGGTTCAGACCCGGGGGCGGGGCCCGGAGGCCATCTTGGCTATGGGCGGAAGTTTTCTTCAGAGACCGAGGGACGGGGATCCGTTGTTGTCCCCGGCCGGGAGGCAAAACCCAGATTTGGGGATGGGGGAGAGAAGCGTGGGAACTGGCGGCCCCCCGAACTCGTAAAGGCTGGCAGCCCGTGGCACCGCCCACCCGGAGGCCCCCCTGTGTGCGGCACAGCCCCCGCAACTCGGCCGCCCGCCTGCCGCCTCCCGTAACCCCGGGCGCCCGCCAGCGGCGCAGCTTGTGCCAATTCTCGAACTGCTCCACGCCGGGTGCGGCGCTAGACTGCGGAGCGAGCCCGGGCCCTGCGCAATTTGCGTAGCGAATGGCGCCCGCGCAGGCGCAGGAGGGGGCGGAGCAGCGGGAGCCGGGGAGCCGGAGCCCCCGGTCCCCACGATCTGAGCCGGCTCCCCCAGCAGCGGCCTGAGGCCCTGGCCTCCGCCTCCTCCCGCCCCTTGAGGCTGGAGAGTGGACGCGGTGGAGGGGTGGGGCGGGGGCAGCTTTCGAGAATTCCGAGGACAGAGGCAGAGGCCCTCCCCATCCGCATTATTGGAGGAGAGAGCCTCCCCGAACTTGGGGAGGGGGAGAGCGGGGCATTGGGCGCCCCCCCTAGCGGCTGCTGCCCTGGGCCAACGGGCATCGGCCGGCTCTCCCCCTCCAGCCAGGACGACACGAGCGATTCAGGCCAGGGACTCCTTTCCTTGGGCCTCCTGCATCCCCCCATCCCTGGCTCTGGGGTAGGCCCAGGGAGGAGACACCACCAACCCTCACCCGATCTGCCCTGGAGAGAAGAGACTGCCCTTCCATGCCCCTGAGTGAGGGGCCTGGGGCCCAGGCTGCCCGTGTTCCCCAAGGGCAGGGGTCTCTCTGTTGAGGAGGAGAGGCCTGTCGGCCACAACTTCTTTCCTCCTGAGCGCCCCATCTCCCTCTCTGCACCCTGCAATTCCCACCCCTCCGTATTTATTTCCTTGGCCCCGCCGACAGCCCCTCCTTCTCTGTCTCCGGGATTCAGGCCTCCCTCCCTGACATGGAGAGTAACCTGTCTGGCCTGGTGCCTGCTGCCGGGCTGGTGCCTGCGCTGCCACCTGCTGTGACCCTGGGGCTGACAGCCGCTTACACCACCCTGTATGCCCTGCTCTTCTTCTCCGTCTATGCCCAGCTCTGGCTGGTGCTTCTGTATGGGCACAAGCGTCTCAGCTATCAGACGGTGTTCCTGGCCCTCTGTCTGCTCTGGGCTGCCTTGCGTACCACCCTCTTCTCCTTCTACTTCCGAGATACTCCCCGAGCCAACCGCCTGGGGCCCTTGCCCTTTTGGCTTCTCTACTGCTGCCCTGTTTGCCTGCAGTTCTTCACCCTGACGCTTATGAACCTCTACTTTGCCCAGGTAACTGACTGTGGTCATGGGTGGAGGGTGGGAGGTGGCAAGCCTCAAGGACCCACAGGAGTGAAGGGCGTCTCTGCTCGTAGGTGGTGTTCAAGGCCAAGGCGAAGCGTCGGCCAGAGATGAGCCGAGGCTTGTAAGTACTGGGGACACTGGTGGGCCCAGCCTCCAGGTCAGGGGCAGGGGACAGTCCCATATAGATCCCTTCCCACCTCTCAGGGCTGAGACAAGGGGAACCCAGGGAATGTCTGTGGAAGCACCTGGCACAGATGGCTCAGCAGAGGCGTTGCAGATCTGCAAGGCACAAGAATAGGAATGGTCGTGGTAGTGTGAGGGAGAGGGTCCCAGTGTCATCCATCGTGGAGGGTGAGCTGGAGGCTCCAGCCATGGAAGAACCAAAGCCATATGCACTCCTGGGTGACCTTGGGCCCCAATGCACCTGTCATTTATCCAGTGTCTTATGGTTTATAAAGAGCTTTTCCAGCCATCTTTCATTTGTACAATTTCCCTGAGTTATCCTCCCTCGAGAGATGAAGAAACTGAGGCCCAGCCAGGTAAGGCAACAGGATCAAGGTCGCAGAGCTGGGGCTCAGACCGAGACTTCTGACTCTAGTTGGTACACCTTCTGACCTCTTTGGGCCTCATTTTCCCCATCTGTAAGAGTGGAGGAACAGGACTCAGACTTGATGCTCTTGAGTGCGGTGGACATTGGGGTTTCCTGCAGGAGGTGGGGCAGGTGGTGAGTGCCGAGGGTCCAGGCTGACTGTGCTGTGGCTGCAGGCTGGCTGTCCGAGGGGCCTTTGTGGGGGCCTCGCTGCTCTTTCTGCTGGTGAACGTGCTGTGTGCTGTGCTCTCCCACCGGCGCCGGGCACAGCCCTGGGCCTTGCTGCTTGTCCGAGTCCTGGTGAGCGACTCCCTGTTCGTCATCTGTGCGCTGTCTCTTGCTGCCTGCCTCTGCCTCGTCGCCAGGCGGGCCCCCTCCACTAGCATCTACCTGGAGGCCAAGGTAGGGCCACAGAACTGATGCCCAGGTGTCCTTTGGGGTCTCTGGGCAGCGGTTCTTAGGGTGTAGAGGAAGCTGGGAGCCTTCTCTCCCTGAGAGTCCTCCGTTGTTATCTGTGCCAGGGGACCAGTGTGTGCCAGGCAGCCGCCATGGGTGGTGCCATGGTTCTGCTCTATGCCAGCCGGGCCTGCTACAACCTGACAGCACTGGCCTTGGCCCCCCAGAGCCGGCTAGACACCTTCGATTACGACTGGTACAATGTGTCTGATCAGGTGGGCATACGCAGTCTGCCGCCTCCTTAGTAGCCGTGGGATCTTGGCCCCAGCTGGCCTGGGCCCTGTCCCACTGCCCCTTTGGCGTGACTGCAGACTGGCACAAGCCCCTGCCTTCCCACAGGCGGACCTGGTGAATGACCTGGGGAACAAAGGCTACCTGGTGTTTGGCCTCATTCTCTTCGTGTGGGAGCTGCTGCCCACCACCCTGCTAGTGGGCTTCTTCCGGGTGCACCGGCCCCCACAGGACCTGGTAAGGGTCTGCACCCTCCTCTGCGGGGCTGGTGGAGAGGGGCAGATGCTGGGAATCCTGGGGTTGGGGTCTGGGGACAGGTTTGGGAGGCCAGTGCGGGACAGGAGTACGTATTGATGCTTTCTCCCCCAGAGCACCAGCCACATCCTCAACGGGCAGGTCTTTGCCTCCCGGTCCTACTTCTTCGACCGGGCTGGGCACTGTGAGGACGAGGGCTGCTCCTGGGAGCACAGCCGGGGTGAGAGCACCAGGTAGGAGCCCTGGCACCACCTCAGCACCCCTGGACCCCCGCCTGGCTCCATTGAGCTACAGGGGACCGAGAGAGCACTGCCATGGCCTCTGTGTCCCCATCTGTACTAGGTGAGGTCCCCTCGGTTTCTGTTGCTAAAGCCTCCACCCCTTGCCTAGAGGTGCACTTTGGCCTGAGCCCTGAAGGTGTGGGTCACAGGGGTTGTGTTCTGAGCCACTCTTCCTCCTGCAGCTCTTGTGACTGGCCCTGGTCACTGTCCTGAGACTGACCTGGTTTCTCTGCCTGCAGCATGTCGGGCAGCCTAGGCTCTGGGAGCTGGTATGGCACCATCGGGCGTGAGCCGGGCTGGTATGGGGGCAGCCAGACGAAGACCACTCCTCTACTCTTCTCCCAGGTGCCAGGACCAGGCGGCCACCACCACAGTCTCTACTCCACCCCACAGACGTGATCCCCTCCCTCTCCCCGCAGAATACCCAGCCCAGTCCCCCTCACCCTAGGCCCCTGTGCCAAGTTCGTCTGCCACTTCTTGCCCAGGATCCTGGGGGTCGTGACTGCCCCCTCCTCTGGCCGGCTCCTTGCTGCTCCTGTCATAGTGAGCTTGTGCCATCCCCCTAGGATGGGGGTGTGGCCCTGGCTGCCAGATGCCCACAGCACCCTGGCATGACCTGCCACCCCCTCTTCCACACCGGAGCCAGCTACCTTTCCTGTGCCTGCCACTCAATAAACAGTGTCTGTGCCCCACGGTTGTGTACCTGTCTGTCATCTGCCATGTGCCCCATCACTTTTGCCTGTTTGGCCTAAGGCTGAGCAGACACTGGTCCTTGAAGTGTGCTGCTAGGCTGGTCAGGGGCCGCTTACCCCATCAAGGCTGGTGGGCTGGGAGAGGAGGGGCCTGCAGATTGCAAGGGAAGACCACACAGGCCTCTGTTCTCAGAGCTCTCCTGGCCCAGAATTGCTCCACTCACTCCAGATCCTTCTTCACTTGAGCAGTTCCTACTTTTTCCTCAAGACCTGTGTCAACTGTCACCTCCTTTAGGAAGCCTTCTGTCTCCTGGTCAGGGGACGTGGCCCCTCTGCTGCGCCCCACAGCCCCACATTACTGTGGTTATATGGCTATTGAGGTTTTTGTTTTTTTGTTTTGTTTTTTGAGACAGGGTCTCACTCTGCCACCCAGGCTGGAGTGCAGTGGCACGATCATGCCCACTCCAGCCTCAACCTCCTGGGCTCATGCAATCCTGTCTCAGCTTCCTGAGTAGCTGAGACCACAGGCTCATCCCACCATGCCTAATTTTTTTTTTTTTTTAAATTTTAGAGGTGGGGTTTCACCATGTTGCCCAGGCTGGTCTTGAACTCCTGGGTTCAAGCAATCCACCCACCTCAGCCTCCCAAACTGCTGGGATTACAGGCATGAGCTACCATGCCTGGCAGTTACTGCGTCTTAACCCCAATGGATGAGACTTTCTGGAAGCCCCTGTTTCCCTCTCACCACCCCAGCCTGCTCTTTAGGAGCCAGGAGTGAGCCCAGGGCTTGCCACGGAGTTGGTGTGACTGAGCAGCTCCCATCTTCCTACTAGGGTGTGGGCTTGCCCAGATGGACAGGTGGCCCTCTTCTCCACTGTTCTCAGTAGCATTGTCACTGTCCTCTGCTCCCATGGCTGTGGCAGGTCTGTCCGATGGCTAGGAGTCCATTACTAGAGGGTCTGTCCCCTGCCCACATAGTGGTTGTCCCAGCTTTTCAGAGTTCCCTTGGCTTGTATCACTGGGGCAGCTTCAAAACCCTTTGCTTGGGACTATCCTGGGCACCAGGCCCACAGGGCCTCCAGAGAGGGCATCTGAGACCTCAGAGAATCAGCTTGAAGCTGGACAATCACTTTTTGTTGAAAGGAAAACTGCTGACGTTTGTGGGGCACTTTTTTGTGTGTGCCAGGCTCTGTTTTGAGCATTTCTAAACACTGACCTCCTTCATGCCCAGAACAGCACCCCCAAGTGATGATCAGTCATCCCTTTTCTGTAAGTGGAAACAGGGAGCCTCCAGAGTTTGGTAACCTGTCCAGGTTCCCTACCCGTAGGGGGTGGTCGGCCTTAAAGCCCAGGCTGAATGCCATCCACTAGGAGGGCTGAGGACTCCAGCAGGCACCAGAGGGTCTTTGGAGAGATCAGAGGTTGTCAAGTGGGTGAGAACAGGGCGGGGCAAGTTTGGGACTAGCCAGGGCCTGGGTGTTCAGGCAGTGGGAGAGCGGATGCTGGCACCACTGCCATGCTGGGATCTGCAGGCAGCTCCAGCTCCAGCCTTCTGGGGCTGACTTCTCGGCATGGAAGTGGGGACCAAAAGCTGGGGCAGGGAGCAGCCTGGAGAGCTGGCCAGGGAGCAGGGGGAGGGCCAAAAACTGGGGTGGGGGCAGGAAGTGCTCCAGCAGCGACTCCCCAGAGGTGGGTCCCAACCTCCACGTCGGCCAATTCCAGGTGGCCCCACCGGGTTTCCCCCACCCTTTTGTCCCGCGGGTTCCTCCCTCATGAGTGCGGAGCCCAAGGGCCAAGCTGTCCCCAGGGGCGGAGAGATGCGGGCCCTTCTCGATCGGGTAATAGGCCTGGGAGATGCCAGATTAGCGTGGTGCCTGTCTGGAGAGGTGGGCCAACTGATGCCCAGGTTAGGGCCCTGCCGCTGGTCACATTGGGCTCCGGTCCAAGACTAGAAGGCTGACCCCAGCTGCAACCCCTCTCTGGCTCCTCTGCCACCCACCTCCCGGGACTGGCCGGGACCGGGGAGCCGAGCGGCCGCAGGTAAAGGGCTTGGGGCGGCTCCGGCGGCGAGGGCGCGGCACAGAGGGAAGCGCGGCACTGGAGGGGTTAACTGCGGGAAGAGGGGGGCTTCTGCCGGCAGGAGGGGGGGGTCCCAGCCCCGGCGGCCGCCCGCTCCGCCCCTGCCGCCTCCGCGGCCGAGTCGGCACCGGCGAGGCCGTGCGGGAGCCCGGGCCGCAGCCGCAGCCGCAGCGGGGCAGACAGTAAGTGCAGGGCGGGCTCTGGGGCGCGGGCAGGACTCCGGGGCGGGGGCGACGGGCCGGTGGGGTGCCCACCTCCCACGTGTGGGCGCCTCCGGGAGTGGTGTGGCCGGGGTCCCGCTGCCCGTCAGGCTCCGAGGCAGGCGTCGCTGTGCGGACGCGGGGGAGGCGGTGGGAGCGAGCGGCGGGCGCTGCTCGGTGGCCCTGCGGTCTGGCGTCGGCACGCGAGTGTCCGCACTCATGTGCGTGGGCTCTGGGTGCCCTGGCGAGGCCCGCACTCCTGTGGGGGCCGGGAGTGCCGGGGCGTCTGCGAAGTGTGCAGGTGGGGTGCGTGCGTGCAGCTGGGCGGCGCGGCGCTGCAGCCTCGGGGTGGAGCGTGGGCGCGCGGGTCTTTGTGCCCGCGCGGGGCGGCGCATGCAGGGGCGTGTGTGCGCGTGGGCGCCGCCGCCAGCTGTCCCGGGCTGACAGCCGTCCCGGTGGCTGCCGCCCCGGTGTGGCCTTTGAGGACCCCCGCCCCGCTTCTTCTGGGAACTGGGCGTCTCCCGCACCCCTCCTAGCCTGTGCGCAGCGGCCAGGACCCGCCCCTGGGTTCCTCGAAAGCCCGGTGGGGCGCGGGGTCACCCTGGAGGGACTGCCGGGAAGGACAGCAAGGCGAGAGGGGACGGAGAAGCCGCGGAGATGCTGCCGCAGCAGCAGCAGGAGAGCCGGGACCCGCCATTCCCCTGTCCCCGCCCTGCGCGGTCTGGCCTCTCCTGACGCCTCCGCGCCCCTTCAGCCTCCTCCTTGAGGGCCAGTTCCCCGAACCCCGCCAAGCTCCCCACATATCCTTGCTCGCCCCGCTTCCCCCTAGGCAGGCTTAGGCTCTCTTTCGGCCTCCCACTCGCCTTCCTTTCCCTTCCCGGTGCCCTCTTCTCCTCCCTCACCCGGGAGTCGGGCAGCGGAGGTAAGGGGGAGGCTGGAGATGGGAGGGGGCTGGGTGTGTCCAGCCAGAGGGATATCTGTGGACAGTGCGGCTGGGGGCTTTCTGGATCTTTGGGTGTGTAGGGGATCGAGGAGGAAGGTGCGGGTGTCAGGCCAACTCAGTGACCCCAACATCCCTGGTTTTGCCCGCAGTGACGACAGCTCCCCAGGAGCCCCCCGCCCAGCCCCTCCAGGCGGGCAGTGGAGCTGGCCCAGCCCCTGGGCGCGCCATGCGCAGCACCACCCTCCTGGCCCTGCTCGCGCTGGTCTTGCTCTACTTGGTGTCTGGTGCCCTGGTGTTCCGGGCCCTGGAGCAGCCCCACGAGCAACAGGCCCAGAGGGAGCTGGGGGAGGTTCGAGAGAAGTTCCTGAGGGCCCATCCGTGTGTGAGCGACCAGGAGCTGGGCCTCCTCATCAAGGTGCGTGGGTGAGCCACAGCCCCTTCAGCTGTCACCCATCACCCCTGGCACTAGCTGCGTGCTAGTGAGACCCTGTGCCGGTGCTGCTTTCCGACCAGTATCCCTGAGGTCAGGGTGCAGCGGGAGGCTGTGGGGCAGAGGCTGGGGTCCAGGTCTCTGTGTTTTCAATAGGGCAGCTGTGGGGTCATTTGTTTTCCCTGGAGAGCTTGGCACAGGACTGTGTACCGAGAATGTCTCCTTCAGGGTGTGATAGAGCTGGGATGAGGGGGAAGTGAATGAATGAATGAATGAGTGAATGGCCATAGCAAATGTTACATCTGCACAGGTCTCACCGGTGTAGATTGCCACATAAGATCCAGGACTATCATTTAAATGTGAATTACAGTTAAACCACAGATGCCATTTTTTTTTTTTTTTTTTTTTCTTTTGAGATGGAGTCTCCCTGTGTTGCCCAGCCTGGAGTGCAGTGGCTTACTCTCAGCTCACAACAACCTCTCCCTCCCAGATTCAAGAGATTCTACCTCAGCCTCCTGAGCAGCTGAAATTACAGGCATGCATCACCAAGCCTGGCTAATTTTTGTATTTTTAATAGAGATGGGGTTTCACCATGTTGGCCAGGCTGGTCTTGAACTCCTGACCTCAAGTGATCCACCCACCTCGGCCTCCCAAAGTGCTGGGATTGAAGGCCTGAGTCACTGTGCCTGGCCCACAAATACCTTTTTAATACAAGTCCATCCGTGCAATATTTTTGTTTGCTAAATCTGGCAACCCTACTTACACCGGTCTCCATACATTTTTGGAGTCATGTGGCTTAGAAAAGCCAAGAACACAGTGAACACACCCCCTCCCCCTGGAAAAGTGTGCATATGAACATATGCAGATGATTTCAGAGGGTTCCAGGATCCATGCCACCAGGGATGCCAGGTCAGGTACCTCCTTCCCTCCAGGATGCATGCTTACCTTGTGGGGAGAAGTGGGGTGCGTCAGGGTTCCCTGAGACACTTCTGGTCGGCTTCCAACCAGTGACTCAAGAAAGTGTTGGGCTGCAGCCTTCTGGGGTACAGTCAGTCAAGCGCCTCAGTTGCTTTCTCTGATTTCGGAGTCACTGTCATTCAAAAAAATTAAGATTTAGCTTTAATAAATTCATGTCTATTACTTGACATTGAACAGTACCCTTTGTTCCCTGCCTGTTCTTTGTGGAGGGAGGGGCTGTTGGCACAGAGGCCTCAGTGTTCCAGCTGATTCCCAAGGTAGCAGGACTCAGGGCAGAGATGAGTGTGGGGTGGGGCTGGGACACAGACCACCCAACATTGTCTCTGACACTTCCAGAATGCCATCGGAGGTTGAGAGAGGCCTGGGAAGAA